ACCCAAACCCAAACCCAAACTCAAACCCAAACTCAATACCCAAACCCAAACCCAAACCCAAACTCATATACCCAAACCCAAACCCAAACTCAAACTCATATACCCAAACCCAAACCCAAACCCAAACTCAATACCCAAACCCAAACTCCCAAACGGTTTGGGTTTGAGTTTGGGTTTGGTGCATGCCTAGTTGGAACAGAACCACATTCAGCACAATTCCATTCAATTTGTGGAGAAAACATAATTCAAGTGTACTATGTACTTGTTATCGATAGAAAGTGTGCTAGAGAAAACGAAGGAAGGCAAGTGAAACAAATCACAGCTAGAACAAGAATGACTTGACTTGAATATATCGCTAGAATAGAATGGATAAAAATATATACCGACCACAAGATGTAAACACATACGATGTGAAGCACGTGTAGTACAATAAATCCAAAAATGTACTTATTGATTCTCATTTCTAGCGATGTATAAATTTCAAATAGTGACAGATCAATAGCATTATACATGTAGCATAACCGGTAAAAAAATTAGATTTTTCTACTGCGTAGATGAATAAATGGACCATCGGGTATCCTTCAAGTTGGGCACTCCCTATGTGAGGGTGTGGGTGTGGGTGTGGGTATGGGGTAGATGTGAGTGTGGACGTGTGTGGGTGTGTATTGGCGTGTGACTAGGCAGAGATTTGCGTCCACACACTCACACCCACACCCACACCCACAATGGATCTATGATCAATATTCTGTTCGTATACAAATATTTATTGATTTAGCAATAAAAACTGATGAAATTTATCATGTTGGTTATAAATTAATGAAAATTCTTAGTGATAATCTGTCTCAACAAGGTATTTTGCAAAAAACAAAAAATTAATAAAAATAATTCATTTTTAAAAAATTATTATTATTAATAGGTTATAGTGGATGTCATGCTTTATTAGATGAAAGAAATGTTTGTTTACATAAATTTTATTTATATCTTGGGTTTACTGATATAGCAAATATTGATCAAAATGATCATATGATTCTTCTTGCAGAAAATTTTAAAATTATTAATTATTTCTTTATCTTCTTTCTTTTTGAAAAAAAGATTTTTAATTAATTGTGATTATTCAAATACATAAAATCCCAATTATTGTTTTGATTCAATCTTCATTATAACTTCAAATAATAATTATTGTCTTTTTCCTTTTCTCATTTCTTATTTTGTTTTTTATTCCCTTTACTGGAAGAAACGGTCTTACAATATTTGAAAAATGTATTTACGCATAACCTTGTTGACTTTATCCAATAAGACCCCAGAAGCTCACGATAGGGAGGCTCAACTAAGAATATTTATCTAAACCAAACAGAAGATTCCGTGTTTTCTATGCTTTTTTCCGAACTTCATTTTTTGTCTACTTGGAGGAGGCTTGACTGTGTATGTATGAATATGAGTGAGGGTGAAAAGGAATTCAGTCCCACAATTTATTCACAATCAGAGCTACCCATGCTCATATTTAAAAAGAACTGCAGTTTATACAACTAGATTTTCTCTAGTTCATAGATTTCATCCTGCATCAGAACGGTTTGCTTTTACTTGTGTATTCATATGATTGTGAATTTTAGTCTATGCATATTATTGGATATGTATATATTATCTCATTGTGTTGGATCATCTGTAAAATACATGAATTTACAAGTAAAATTATGGTCTCTGATTTAATATTAACTTGAGGTGAATAAGTTCAAATAAAAATTGTTCTTTATTTTTGTGTTCTGTATATCTGAAATAATTAACTTCTGTTCTACGTGATGAGTTTCATTCGTCAGAACTTTTTAGTACAGGAAGCTGCTGGAAGTGGTTCTCATCGTCAGTTATCTTTACTTGTAATATGAAATAAAATTTAAAAAATTGAGTTTCATTTATTGAAATATCTGGTTCCATATTAATTAGCTTATGTCCTGTTGAACTTAATGTTCAAAGGAAAATTTTTCCATCATTTACATAGATCATATTTTGCATGTAAACAAATTCAACTTCAGGTTTTTTTTCATAGAAAGTTATGCTTTTGTTATTTTGATGTAGGACTATTTAAAAAAGAAGAGTTCACATTGGTATTCTTATTTTGTCGATAATCCGATAGATATTATGATATTTTGTCTTAAGTATGACTATTATATTCCGTTCTGGTATAAAAACTAGGAACGAGGGAAACATCATGTTAGAAAAAACTAATTGTCAGCTTCATTTTTATTTTAACAATAGAAAATCAAAACAATCGCCAAAATAACACGATTGGCCCAGCTCTGCTTAAGATCATATTTTCTTTAAAAACTAAACGTTGCTTTTTTCTGTCTATCATGAGCTCAGAAACAAAACATTTCGCTCTAGTTCAATCGTTATTGGATATTTTTCTAATCTCAAAATAACTATCATAAATAAATATACTTATTTTATGTAAGAAAATAATCCTGTTTGTTCATGCTAGATTTATTGTTATTGATTTTATCATGTTCAAAAATTAGTATAACTTCTGCTGCAATTGTATAAAAATTATTTTGAATTTTCTGAAAACGACTTGACAGTTTCTTTTTCTTTGGTCACTATCTTGAGGGTTTGTGTGTGCTTGTAGTGGTGACTGTGAGTTTGTAACTGAAAAGAAGAGACGATGACACATCCACAGTCACACCCTTTTGTGTCTATTGTTTAATTATTGTTAATGCAGTTATATAGTATAATTATTGGACAAGAAACATGAAACTTTTAATAGTCAAAAGAAAACAAAAAAAAAAAAGATATACATGATCAACAGGAAAAACATGAAATTGATAATCTTGTCAGATCTATGTATGAATAAATATCTTGTACACCATGGACTTTGAAAAAATATATTACACATGGTTTAAATCGAACATGGGAAAATAAAGAAGTATTTATTTTTATAATATTGTGTCCATTTTTTGATCTACCCGACTAACGCTGAAGAGAAAACTATCGGAAGTGAAAACATGGAAAATTATAAATGTCGAAGAGTATAAATAATGAAAGCAAATGTTTATAGTAAAAAAGTAGAAGAACAAATAACGAATGGTAATAATGTCGAAATGTGAAAGGGTGTAGGTATGGGTATAGATATTTATAGCTGTCACCATGGCTAGCGCAAGAAGAGCATCTCACTCCCACCCACACCCACACCCACACATCCACAAACACTCACACCCACATCCACCCATACCCGCCCACACTTACACCCACACCCTCAAGATAGTGTGGATGTTCACCTAATGAAGTGCCAAACCTATACCCACATCCACAGTCACACTCTATTACAACTTACCAAGAGATTCTGATGAAGTCAAGTTTCAACTTGACAGAAACTAGTCAATAAACTTTATAAAAAGAATAAGAAAACTTTATATTTTTCAAATTATCTAGAGAGTGTATATAAGTAAAAGATAGGTTATTTCTTCATATAAATAATCAAAAACTCTTTTTTTTGAAAAAGAATAGTTCTAATCGTTCATTTCCTGTTCAATTGTTGGCCACATATTAATTGCTTTCTTGTAGTATTGAACAGCTTTATTATATTGTCCTTTTTCTTCAAATTCTGATGCTTGTGCATACAATTTTTTTGCCTGAGTTCGCTTATCATTTGAACAATCAGTTTGTATTTCATTTTCAATTTCTAATTGATACATTAAATCTGTTCTCATTAGATATTTCGAACCCGATCGTAATACATCACCATCATGATATTCATTGTGTAGAAAGACGAGAGCTTTTCCAGTTTTTGGTTGACATTCGAAAATGACCTCTTTATTCGTCGGATTCAAAAATCTTGTACAACCTGCATCAGTATCATTTAAATAGATATTAATTGTCATAAAACTTCGTTCTCTTGCTGAACGAGAAAAGTAGGTATCACGATGTGCACCAAATACACCACCAGAACCGTAACGACAGAATCGAAATACTTCATTCAATCCAATAGATTTCCATGCATCATTATGATGAGTGATCAACTCGGGAAAATAACCATATATACGTTTGAATAATAGAGTAGATAATGATTGTGAAACAATGGTTACACGATCATTCGAACGATATGAGATTTGATAACCGTCTAATGGTGTATATCCAGCACGTTCACTTTCGTTGATATAATGTTGACATTCAGCGTCTGTTAGGAGATTATTTATAATGAAAAAAATAAGTTTCTTCTTCTTCTCTATTGATCCATACTCAAATTCAAATCGTTCGACTGTTGATTTATAGTTGGCATCATCATCTAGAACTTGTAATTCGAAATCATTCGGAGCTTTGTTCGGTAATGTCGAATAAACTTCAGATTTGTTCATGATCTTGAAACTATCAGCTACATGTTATACCTCCAATATATACCTCTTACCATATATGACTCACTCTACACGCCTGCTTGCTGTTTTTTCTTTCTCTAGATTGTGCAATTCTTTCTTTCCCATCGCGACTTACGTCAGTACACGAAAAACAACACACATTATCGTCGATCAATGAGAACATCATCAAACATGAGTCATGAACAGTTGCAGAAAAAAGAATCATCCCTAATCGACACGTTGTAAAGATGATCAGCCTTCGCATTTTTGCTCCATCTACCAATAAATATTATAACCTAAACAGCCAATTTTTAAATAAAAATTCATCTGAAAACTTATGGTAAAAATTGACTTTAAAGAAGTCTTTCTTCTAACAAATCCAATTTTCGAGCGTAAGTCTCAATTTGATTTTTCTCTGTTATCCATTATCGAACACGATATTGAATGTTTTTCACTATTCTATATATAAATATTCCATAACGAAATGTATGAATTTTGTTTAATTTACTTGCACATAATTGGTTAAATTGTACAAAAATCATGCCATCTAAAGAGAAAATTATATAGATATCATATCCAATAGTTGTATATTTGTCATTTGTTCATCATCAAGACAAGTCCTAAATTGTTGTAGTGTAAATACTTGATAACAACAAAAACAATGTATACAATGATAATCAGATCATTAAATCATATTAAAAATAATTGTTCAATTGTTTTCATAGGTCGTACAATAAGTTTAGGTATCTTATTCATGTCATAATGATCATGTTCAGCAATAGATTGTGCTAAATTAATACTTCTTAAATAAATATTTGATACTGTAGATTTATTGGATGTATTTAGTGGCGTTAACATTGCCGAAGAATTTTGTACAACAATTGGTAGTATCGAACGATAAATATTTGTTTTTTTTTGTTATTCTATTTATGAATGAGTTTCGATCATAAGGAGGATGAGTAGATAATTGAGAAAGAATTTATTCAAGTTGACGTTGTTGTCGATTAATAGATAATGATGAGTTAGGATCTGTTAGTGCTAGTGAAGGATAACATTTTAATGAGAATGGCACTGTATATTGTTGATAGACCATTCTTTCATTTGAAGATGCACTTTTAGATATTTGTGGTTGAGATAGAAAAAATTTACTGGTTGGTATTTGATGAGAATAACAAGGCTAACGACACAGTATTTATACCGTTTGTTTTTCGGATGTGAATGAATTAGATAATATATATATACCTTCGTTACGCTATGAATAGCAGAAATGAAAAGCTTACCATAGCTCTATGTAGACAGAAAATGAAGTTTAGAACAATGCACTATGTAAAGTTTCATTTCATACATTCTTATTTAGTAAGATACATATAGACCAAATTGTCAAAATCACCATTGTGACGAATTTACTGAAGATGAACGAAAACTGCTATTGAAGATTGAAAAACGTTTGTAAAATTTCGAGATATGGATCTTGCTGATAGAATTCGAACGAATTTCTAGCGACTCGCCGTTCTCTAGAACACCACGACACAAAAAAGGCGCAAATTATGTAGACCGAGTGTGTACGCAACCGACTCAAAAAAATGCTCTACTTCGCACCGCATTAATAAGCAGGATTTTGATAGTACTTAGGGGTACCCAAAAGTAGTGGCGGTCGCATCTCAATTTTGTATAGAAGGCTTGATGGAATTTTCTGTTTTTATGAGGTGATAGAGAAAACGAAGCTCTATTTTTCTGTGCTATTTCATCCCTATTCAGCTGGTATCATAATAATGAAATTTCGATAAAAA